AAGTTGCTGGGCGGAGACAGACAGTTCTGGCTGGGCCTCTACCACTTGCAGAAGGTGCTGCTAGGCTTCGTGCTTCCGTTGTGTATCATCAGCCTGTGCTACCTTCTGCTGGTGCGCTTCATCTCCGACGGCCGCGTGGCTGGGACCGAAGGAGGAGCCTCAGCGGCCGGGGGCGGCCTGGCCGCAGCCAGCGCCCGTAGACGGTCCAAAGTCACCAAGTCAGTGACCATCGTGGTCCTATCCTTCTTTCTGTGTTGGCTGCCCAACCAGGCGCTCACCACCTGGAGCATCCTCATCAAGTTCAACGCGGTGCCCTTCAGCCAAGAGTATTTCCTGTGCCAGGTATATGCGTTCCCGGTGAGCGTGTGCCTGGCTCACTCCAACAGCTGTCTCAACCCCATCCTCTACTGCCTGGTGCGCCGCGAATTCCGCAAAGCGCTCAAGAATCTACTGTGGCGCATCGCGTCGCCTTCCCTCACAAGCATGCGCCCTTTCACGGCCACCACCAAGCCAGAGCCCGAGGATCAGGGGCTGCAGGCCCTGGCACCTCTCCACCGGACCGCGGAGCCTGACCTGGTCTACCACCCGCCCGGCGTGGTGGTCTACAGTGGGGGGCACTACGACCTGCTGCCCAGCAGCTCCGCCTACTGACTCGGGCCCATGGGGCACAGTCGCTGCAAAGTGGCCTTCCCCGAGTGGGGAAAGAGGAGAGCGGATTAGGAGATGCTGGGGGCCCACGGGATCGAGAGGTAGGAGGGACCAGGATAGGGAAAGGCGTAAAGGAGCAGCCTGTGGAAAGGCGGGGAAGGGGAGGCTGTCCGCGGAGAGGGAAGGCTTCCAAACCGGGTGGAGAGAGGACGCTGGCAAAGGGGCCGAGGTCAACCTCCCAGGGCCAAGCCACCAGCCTGCGTCCCCTTTTCCCCACATACGCCTCTTCCTCCCTTAAGCTCTCAACACTGGGTGGGGGTGGGGGGCGCCCAGAAGCGGGAAAGGAATCAAGAACGTAGAGAAATTGGGGCACGAGGAAGTGGGGCTCAGCCAAAGGTGCGCAGACAATTGAATGCATTTATTCCAGCCACTTTTATGGAGCTCTTGAAGGGGTCCTCAAAGTGCATCCAACCGCAGGAGCCGCCTACAAAACCTTTCCTTTGCGCCTTGGCACGCGAGACCGCCACAGCGCCATCTGACTCGCCGCGTGGCTGCGCAGGAGACCTAGTTTGCGAATAAGAAACTTCTTCGGAGTCGAAAGAAAGTAGTGACCACCCCGATCCGCCCTCCAGAGAAAGGCACCGCGAGAGGGGCACCTCCCAGGGGGGCATTGTATCGTTTATCATCCCGGACAGAGCGAGTGGCTCTGCGGGAGCCGGACCGCGACTCTGCGCTTAGGTGTCACCCGAGGCAAAGTACTTGTCTCCAACGCGCGCTATCGATTCGCTGGGGAGTGGCCTCACTACGGGAGGGAGCGGATAAAGTGTGATGAGAGGGACTGTATAGAGACCTTTTCGGGCCACCGCCACTAAAGGAAAAGGGGAGCTGACGTGCTCACTTGGTGACCGAGTAGGAAGTGAGTGCGCCAGGCGCTGGCAGCCGTGACGTCCGGGTTCTCCGGAGAGCGGAGGGGTGCCTGGAAACGCTGCGCGCTGCAGGTGAGCTGTGCCCTGGAGCAACTTGACAAGGTCTGAGTATACAGGCCTGGGAGTGGGGGCGTCTCTGCAGCGCCCCCCCGCCCAGCCCTCACTTTTCGCGAATCCGGATGTCCCTTTGATAGCTGCTTGGGAACAATCAGTAGAGGGATGGCTCCGCCAGAGTTTTTGTAGGCTTAGATCGAAAACTAAGAGATGCTGTAGAAATGTGCAGGGGCAGGGGAAAAGGGTGGGGGGGTGGTTCCTGGAAACCAAATTCCTAGAACCAAATTTCAACAGGAGGGGTGGGGCGGGAAAGGGAACGGAAGACTCAAGTAAAATCTGTCCTAAAGGGAAGAGAGTACAGAGAGCGTGTTCTAAGGGGATCCCCAGAATCTCTGGTGTGGGGTTCTCTCTTTCTCATGATATGGAGAGGACAAAGTAGGGAGTAAGACTTCCCATAGGACACACCTTAACCAAGTTCCATTTACTCTAAGCAGTGCTCTGCACAGTGAATGAGTATTATGAATTCTTCTGTAACCCCCCAGGCAATCTAGGGAACCATCTCTGAAGAGTGACATGTTTCTTATGACAATTCTGTTCTGGCCACAGCAGTTTAATCCTTTCTTGAGGATGCTTAGAGAATGGGGATCAAATATCAGTCTATCCACCCAACTGCTCCTTTTGACAGAGGTGCTACTGTTCTCTTTGGCGATCTAGCTTGGGGTAAAACAGCAACAACAACAAGAAAAACCCAGCCATGTGGGCATCTACTGGTGTGGTTATTTTAATACAATAAATAATCATTATACAAACATGTCTGTTTAAGTAACTTCTCAAACTGTAAATCTGTTTGTAATTTTGTTGGAAATGTACGTATATTGTCTGAGATTTAAGGGTAAGTGTGACCATCTACAGCGCTAGCATCCCTTATCCTGCTTTCTGTGACACAACACAATGCAATTACTAAGCATTCATACCTTTGCCACAAAAACAAAAGCCTCCTGATTTCCTCAATCCTGAGCAGTCTTGAGAAGTTAACTTTTTTAGAAAACAGAATAATGCTTTTGTTTTAAAGCAGTCAAATTAGGGACCCACCCGTGGCTGGCTCAGTTTGTAGAGTATGTGACTTTTGATCTCTGGTTCCTAAGTTCAAGCCCCATCTTGGGTATAGGGTTTACTTTAAAACATAAATATATAAAGTAGTCAAATTAGTCTTTCTTTGCCCTTTAGGAAGAAAAATTATTGATACAGATATTAAATAGTAATTGGGCTAATAAAAATTGAACTGCAGGGCATCTGGGTGGCTCAGTGAGTTAAGTGTCTGCCTTCGGCTCAGGTCATGATCCCAGGGTCCTGGGATCAAGCCCCACATCGGGCTCCCTGCTCCGCGGAGAGCCTTCTTCTCTCTCTCCCTTTGCCCCTCTCCCTGCTTGTGCTCTCTTTCTCTCAAATAAATAAATAAAAATCTTTTTAAAAAATTGAACTGCAAGCCCCTCCAAGTCCCCAAAACAAACATGCAAGTGAACACCCAGAAAGAACAAATAGTAGTAGCTTGGCAGTGTATCCAGGTATAATGTTGATATTAGACTCTTATTGAGAGATTCTCTTTATCAAAGGAACTCGCCATTTCAATTCTGACAATAAAATACTGTGTTGGTAGCTTGGGGTTTTTAGGAAAGTTGTTGAAGTGTGTGCTTCTGCTGTGATGGACACTAGAAAAATGGAAGGGACTAGGGACAAGGTCTTCATGAAAGAATACTGTGAAAAGAATCAACTGGTCCCCATCTGAACCTGAGGGCTTGTGAGAACATGGCTGGAGGGAGCAAAAACCATGACTTCTGTCTACCACAAAGACAAAAAAAAATGAACTAGGCAATGGCCACATTTTTTTTTTTTGAGTGCCAGTTGCGTGCCAAGCCCTGTACTGGGTGCTGAGATGGCATATATCAACTGGACACACTACTGACTTTTACATCTAGAAGGAGACACAGCCATGTCCGCAAGGTAAGTAAGTCGTGGAACAGTGAGTTGAATGTCATAGCAAGGGCTAAAAGAAGTGCTATGGGAATGTAAGGGATAGAAAGCTTGGCTCTGCTGAGGAGGCAGGGCAGTCAGAGACTTCCTCACCAAAATAGTACTTGAGATGGACCTAGAAATATGGGTACAATTTGGATGGGCAGGAATGCCCATTTAGACAGGCAGTGGGGACATAGAGAGGACATTTGAAGCTGAGGAAAAGCAATCATTAAAGGTTTGAGATTGGAACATCTGCGGCATGGTGAGGGAAGCAGGAAGCAAAGCAGTTTGGCTTCCTTTTCTTCTACAGAATTTTCTGGGATTTCTGTTCAGAATTTAGGTGTCCCTGTATTTGTTTTGTCTGGGAATGGAACATTTTTGTCCCAGAGAGAACATGCCATTGGTATACTGAGAACAAGTACTTGAGTTCCCAAAGGTGGTTAAAGGCTTTTAAAATTGGCTTCTATCCACTCAATCAAACCTCAGTGGAGTCGAGTTGAAAGAGCTGAGTGTTTATTTGAATATTTGAGTGTGTGTGAGTGCATATGTATAGGGGGGTTGGGGGGGGTGCATGCTCTAGGGCCTTTCTTCATGCCAGCAACCCATCCAGTACTCCAGCTGAAAAGAGCTTCACTCATAATAAAGACCATGCCCTGTGGTTAGCCAAAGATGACGACTTTTAACTTCTTGGAGTCCAGGTAAGATGGTCCTCAGCTGCAGGTCACCCTCCTAGCTCACCCATTCATTGATTTCAAAATCTTCAACCACCAGAACACTCTTTGGAGAAATGATCAGGAAATAAACATTGAACTCTGCAAATAATTCCGTTTTTAAACCTTACAGAGGCCAAGGACAGGTGGGTAAAGCAAGGGAGGTAGCTCAGTGCTGTTTCTTTTATAAATGTAGGGTACTGAGTCACCTGGGGTCCTCTGAGCATTTGCTCATCATCATCCCACACTTATGGGAAGGGAGCAGGTATTGATTGTCCCTGATCGTTCCTCTAACTCAGTCATGACCTTGCAGGTCTAGGATAGATAATGTGATGGAGAGGGAGGAAGGCAGACTGGGGAAGATGGAGTGGTTTTGAGTGTTGACTGTCTCATGTAATTTATTGAATACTGTACTGAAAGGGGAAAAAAACAGCAGAGCTATATGGGGACAGAATGGTCGTCAATGTACCAGTTGTTCTCCTTTGTGATCGTGAGGCTGACTGGGAGCTGGGTTGTCACTACCTAGCATCATGAGGGAGGATCATACCGCATATCACCCAGAAAAGATCAAAATTCAAAATTTGAAATATGGGTTTCTACTGAATGCGCATTGCTTCCCAACTATCATAAAGTAAAAAAAAAAAAAAAGTTAAGTCGAACCATTGTAAGTCAGGGACTATCTGTCTATATGAGCAAATTAAATATGAATTAAATTTGAGTAAATTAATATCATAAAATAAATCAGCAGTATTTTGAGTATTGGTGAACTAATGAAAAATATGACCCTCTGACAAAATACGGACCTCTGATTAAAAAAAAAAAAAACACATGATAGAATAAACCCAATTTGTCGTGTGTAGAACCAGTCTGCTTCTCGAATTTTGTCAAGGCCAGAAATAGCCTGAGATGGAGGCACTCTCTCCCACACTCAACCTTTGCCCCAGTGAATGGAGGCAGAGCCCAGTCTTTTCTAAGATAAATGATGCCCGAAACCTGGAAACTGTTGTGCAGAGAGCTGGCAGAAAGTGAGGTGTGGGCAGACCGCTGAGGCTGAGGTCTTATCACAGGGCATCCAATGGGCAGATCCTAAAACTGCGGAGCCAAAAAAGAGACTGATTTCCTGCCATGGACTTCCCTGTGTCTGAGGGAAGGGACAATGTTTATTGACCTAATCCACGTATCTAACAAAGAGAGCCACAAAACAGGAGCCAATCAGCGCCAACACAGAGGCCGTGATCACCACGATGACGCTCCCAGCCTTGCTGACCAGAAAGCCCAGGCCACCTCCAACCAGGATCTGAGCCAGCTGCACCATGCAGGTGAGGACAGCGCAGGCCAGGCCCTGCCCTCTCCCACCGCCGTCCGGGCTCCCTCCCGGGGCCTGCTGTCTCTGCAAGGGAAACACAGGAACACACTTTATCTACAGGAACTGTGCTTTAGGGCAGAAGTTGGCATACTTTTTCTGTGAAGAGCCAGATAGGAAATCCTTTCAGCTTGTGGGTCCCATGGTCTTGGTTGCCTCTACGCAACCTGTTCAAGACCAAGTCTTAAACTCCCCTGTTAATGCCTAGGAAGGTTAAATGGTTAAGATATGCAAAATTATCTCTTCCTAAGAACTCAATAAGTATGGGCACCTGGGTGGATCAGTTGTTAAGTGTCTGCCTTCGGCTGCGGTCATGATCCTGGGGTCCTGGGATCAAGCGCCGCATCGGGTTCCCTGCTCGGGGAGAAGCCTGCTTCTCCCTCTCCCATTCTCCCTGCTTGTGTTCCTGCTCTCGCTGTGTCTCTCTCTCTCTCTCTGTCAAATAAATAAATAAAACCTTTAAAAAAAAAAAGAAGTCAATAAATACAATGTAATGGAAACTCAATAAATATGCCATTCCTTTCCTTCCGTCGTGTTAGAAGTTCAAATATGTATAAGAAGGGTATTGAAGCACAGATCTACATAGGAGAAGCAACATAAAAAAAAAAAAAAAAACCACATTTCAACCTTTCAGAATGCAGTTGGTCTGAATTGGTTGATAATGTTGCCATTCATTGGGTGTCTTTTATGTGCTGGGCCTTACACAAGATTCTTTGGCTTGTGTCGCTTCAGTGCTTCACCGCATCCTCCCCGCCTCCCGGGATGCACATATTATCATCCACATAGAACAACAATAATACTAACTACCATTTTTTGAGTCTTTCCCAGGTGCTAGGTAAGCACGATGCCAGGCACCCCACTTGCACTACCTTGTTTAATTTCATTTCCCAACCACTCCTTAAGGTGGGCTTATTTTTCCTATTTGCTTGGTTAGGAAGCTCAGGCCCTGAGAGTCTGAATGATAATTCCTATATCATTAAGTAAAAAAAAAAAAAAAAGCATTGTGCAGAGACAAGCACATTATACTTTGAATATGAGAGGAAAAATAGGAAAACAGATTCATACTTGCTTGATGTTCATTTTAAAATACTGGAAGGATAAACAAGATAAAGAAGAACCTAGCAAGGGGCTCACACATAGGCCCTGAAGGGAGATAGGAAAGGTGTCAGCAGGAGCCACTTCAGGAGTGCGCGTGGATATGGTTGGCATTGTTGAACCACGTGAACATACTGCCTTACCGAAAAAGGAACTCATTTTAAGTGATATTTAATATCACTTATTTAATAAATAATGATCTATATTTATTAAATGATATTTAATAAATAAACGAATAACACCCCCCGTGTCGCACACCTGCAAAGTAGGGGTGGCAGGATTTGAATGCAGTTTTCTCTGAGTCCAAAGCTTGTGTGTTTTGCCCTGGTACCACCTAACTTTCCCCTAGGAGGGACAGTTCTTCATGATAACTGTCTCTAACAGCAAAACCCTTGCGTGCATCGGAACATTAGTGACACTGATTGCCAGGGCGGGTGAGGACAGCCACAAACTCTCGTTTGGAAGGTTCTAACTCCTGGTGCCACTTCACCCTGTCGCCTTTGCCAGGTCAAGGGATAGAGAAAGCGGCGAGCATTGCAACCACATAAATTTGTTTCCGCAGCATCACACTGTGATAGAGTGAGCTGGAAGTTACCTCTTTAGCTCTTGTATCACTACTCCAGCTAAGGAAAGGTGATGCCTATTTTCATGGAGAAAAAGTGACATCTTTTGAAAAGAAGAGGTGGTCTTCTTAGAGCAGAAACACCCAACCCACTGTTGTTGGGGGGCAGCATGGTGCCTTGCCCTCCAGCCTGAGCTTCAAGGCAGAGATGGGGCAGGCCTCCCTGGAGGCAGCTGGTGGGTGACCACCTACAATCTCAGCTTTCCTCCTTGCACACAGGGTCTGACTTGCTAAAATCTGGTCTCTAAGGGAAATCTCCTACCTTTAACCAACAATTCCCAGAAATTCCACCTTGCAGCCATTGGGGTGGGTGCAGGTGCTGATGCAGGTGAAATGCTGCAGGTGCACGGGACATTGGGGCAGGCGTCAGAGTCCCCAGGTTCCCCTTTCACTGTCTCTGTGTGACAACCATGGTGGGCTTGTTTCTCAACATTACCGAGCCTTCTTTTCCTAATCAGATACCGGAGGGTAACTGGACCTGCTCTACTGCTCTCCAGGTGCCCAGGGCTTCTGAGTAAGGAGGAGGGTGTGGACTGGGAAGGCGGTCATGCTTTGGCCAGACCATCATTACATTTGGCTGGGCATTTTAGAGTTGCTGTTTCAAGACCCTGATTCTCCAGCTTTGCCCTGTACTTTCCTACCACATCCCCCCAGCCTTCCGGTGAGGTTCAATGACGCACCTTCTCCTCCTGCTCCTCGCGGTGGTACTTGGCAATGAGGTTAAAGGGCACAGTGTATAGAGTACTGGACATCACACCAAACAAGGTACACAGAGCCAGGGTGGAGTAGACGTTCGGGAAAAGCCCAATAAATCCTGTCCCCAGGCCAAATAGCAAATACCCCATGAAATAAAGACCCTTTAATCCGATGTAGGATACCAAAGGTTTCTGAAAGTCTGTGGGGAGAAGAAAGAAAGAAATTACAGCTGGAAGTGCCTCACAGCATTTGGTAATTTCAGACAATCTTTTCTTTTGAAGATTCACTTTTTTTTAGGAGCTTTCCTTTGATACCGAATCAGGAACAAAAGAACCTCCTTATCTGTGCTTCAAAATAGCTGGCTTTTGGAATCAGTTTTAAATCCCGTGCATACAGAGGGCTGGAAATTGCCTTGCTAGGTTGGTTTTTTCCCCCACAAGTAAGGACCAGGCGCCGTTCTGGCAGGCAGCTGAATAGCAATAGGATGCAAAGAGGTGCTGGAAAAGCCCACCTTGGCTATGGGACTGTGGGGATGCAAGACATGGAAGAAAAGTGGGTCCTTCTGATTCACAGAGTCTGACCTAACAGGACACAAACAACAATCCCAGCCTATCTTGGCCCCATGGCCCAAAGTCAGGTTGGAGGCAAATAAAACAACCAGATTTTAAGAATGATCCAGGTCATCTGGTCCTTCCACCTCCATTTGAATGTCATCTGCATACCTGAGAATGAAGCCAAAAATGTTCTTTTTCTAAAGACAGGTTCCCTGACTTGCCAACACTTCCCGGGCTGGTGAGGGGCCCTCACTGTACCCTGCACCTCCCCATTGCGGGCTCCCTGCCTGTCAGTCCATTCCCATCACTTCTCAAAACCTCAGGTTCCTCATCTAAAAAAAACCTAAATAAACAAATGGAACTAATAAAACCCTTCTTTGTGGTTGTTGTCAGGATCAAATGAGATCCAATGCTTGTGACATCAGTCAGCCCAGTGCCAAGCACACAGAAGACATCCCGTTAATGGTGGCTATTGTCATTTCAACAAATGCAGGCTCAGATGAGGCTGAAGATGGTTATCTCTTAA